AAAATAAGAGAAAAAATTATTGAGGTCTGTGAAATGAATTCAGTCATCAAAATAAAATGCAATGACAATTCTTATGATACTTTAAATATGTGATGTGATGGCCGTAGATGAAGAAAGACTAAAAACTGCAATACAGTATGTTTATAGAATTGATATGTTTGCATTGCTAAACATTTTCAGTGTTTCATCTCATACTTTTGATTAGTGGTTGTTGTAGACAGTTGACAAGGTCTATGTGTGGTAGCTCTCATCTGTAGGTTCTGAGTAGTGCTGTCAGTTGTAGGTTATGGGGCATTTTTGTACAGGAGTAGTGGCCCCTTGAGTTGAAGGAGTAACAGGGCCTGTGGCATTAGATTGTGGAATTGCAGTGGAATCCTCAGCAAGCTCTGAGTCATACTAATATTTATATTCACAGGTGGAATGATAATCTTCAGTGCCATAGATATACTCTTTAGGATTTCTGACATCTTTTCCAGGACTCTAGCCTTGGAGAGGGCATGGCCCACTCAAAAACAATTAATGTAATAGTGTTAGAAACAAATTCAATTTGTCTAAGTCAACAGATAATATCAATTATAAGTTTAGTTGGCTATTACATTTATGTCCAAACTGTGGAAATCCAAAAGCCTCTAGAAAAACCTATGTCTTAATCTCTTTCTTACCCGCATAGATACCTTAGAAGGGGTTTATCCTGGGTTCTGATAAGATTTTATCTTCTCTAGTCATTTCTCCAAGCAAAAACTAGTGAGCTCGGTTTGAATAATGAACCCTTCATCCTTGAATGGTCCTCCTACTTTTTTCCAATTGGGGAGAGACTGAGAAAATTTAAATATATTTAAATATGAGTGTTGTTGGCAAGGATTAATATTGATTAAAAGAAAGTCAAGTCTGTTGACAAAATCAGTTGTTCCTATGGATTCTTCTCATTTATAATTTTGTTTCACTCTTTCATCTTTACTTAAGAAAAAGGAATAATAATTTTATTCATTATAAAATTTTTATTATTTGTATTATTAGTCCAAATCATTAGTTTAAAATTTATTATTTCTGTGGCATATGGTATGTCAAGGTTATTTTTATTCTTTAAGGTCTTTGTCTTAACCATCCCAACACTGGTTGTAGGTATTTTGAGATAAATAATTCAAAAGAATAATTTTTAAATATGGAAAATAACTATGGTAATGCCAAATATTAATTTTATAAGTATTTTTAACCTTGATGTTAAGAGTTTTGGGGATTTCTCAATGTATTTCTATGAAATATATACTTAAAAAGAATACACTTGACCTTTCAAATCTATTTTTGTTCTTCAGTCTTGATTGTTAAGTTTATAGCCTTTAGACTAATAACATGGGCAGCCAGCCACTTTAACAGTGTCTCACATTAGGAAGATTAGGAAGAGCACATGCCATCATCTCCTTCTAAACAGTGTGCTAGTTAAGATAATACATAATATTTATATAGCAATTTAGTTGTCATTCTGCTGACATTCAGCTTTCTTTCCTTTAAATCTGAGATTAAGTTATAAAAACATTCTCCCTTTAAACTTTTAAATTGCTGTGATTGGTAATATGATTTGCAGTAATTTTCTTTTGAATTTAAAATTGGCCTAACAATATATCACTGACTTTGCTAGTTTGATTCATAATTACTAAGAAACTGCTAAGGTCAACATAGTTATTCCAGATTTTTGTAAGAAAAGCCTAGGTTTAATACTATTTAAATGGGTATTTCAACTTCAGTCACTGATAATCCATACTTACTTGATTGTTTAACAAAAATGTATTTAAATTCTACATTGTATTAGGTCTTATATTGGAGAGACAGTAATGAGAAGGACATAGTTCATATGCAGAAAGGCTTAAGCGCAGCAGGAGAGGTGGGCCGGAAAGTATAACAGTTTGATGAGTACTAAGAGGGAAAGAAAGTGTCAGGGCCAGGATGCTGTGGTAGTACATTAGTGGGGCAGTTGCCCTTGGAAGTTCAGGAAAGGTTTTCTTAAGGATGTAATATCTAAGTCAAGGAATCAAATTTTGATTATGTGATATGAATTATCAAAAGGACTTAGGAAGTTTCAGAGAAACTAGTAAGATGATGCAGTAAAGCCATCACGGTGTTTTTGAATTGTTGGGGTGTGCAGTATGAAGATCTAATAGAGAGAAATGAGGTGGCAAGGCAAATGATAGCAAGATCATGAAAGTTGACTTTATTTGCAGACAATGAATGTACTTGGAAATGTCACTTAGGGGATTTAAGAATAAAGGGACGATCATTTATTGAACACTTGGCTAACATAGGGACTCTAATAAATGTCTCAGATTAAAGGTTGTATGTTATAGTAGTAAGATAATAAAGGCTGGTGGGCTGAATTACTAGAGTTCAAAGCTAAACTAGACTATTTAGTAGCTTTTTGATGTTGGAAGAATTAATTTCTTTGAGCCTCAGTTTTCTCATTTACCTATGAACACCATAACACTACTTCTCTAAGAGACTACTATATGGGATAAATAAAGAAATACCTGAAAAACTCTTGTTATAGAGCCTGCCACATAAACAAACAAACAAACAAATGTTAGTTTCCATTCTATTTATTACTCAGGGTCACACAGTTCAGCAATGTGACTTAAAACTGTAATCCAGTTCTATCCAAATCTAAAGTCTATAAATCTTCACTATTTTAAAGATGTTTAACTGTTTTAAATTTGTTTTCACATATACAAAATGATAACTAATAACAAATTATTTCAAAAGGTTAAGAGGTTGATGTGTGTGAGTGTTTTATACATTTTTAAAGTGCTGTATAGATGCTTATTATATCACTAGAAACCCAGTGTGCGAAATTGCGCAGCCCCGTGCACCCATGTCCACCTCGCCGTGCCCACTCTTTCGCCAGACCGCCTGCCAGCCACCAGCCTTGCTGCGATCGGAGCCTGTGGGCCATGCCATGTGAGCCAAAATCGCATGAGACCCCCAGACCCTCTGTGTGAGGCGAGACCCCAGACTCCAGACCCGCCACGTGAGGTGGGACCCCAGACCCCAGACCAGCCGGCGCAAAGCAGGACCCCAGACCTGTTGCATAAGGCAGGACCCATCAATGCATCTCCTGGTGACTGGTTGTTTGGTTGTTACGGCGTTATGGCCATGGGCTTTTTATATATATAGATTGCATTCTAGAAGACCTGAGAACTTTCAAATAAGGTTGTTTTGTACAACTTAAGAAAGTGTTTTTCTGCCCTAGTCAGTTTTGCTCAGTGGATAGAGCATCGGACTGTGAACCAAAGGACGTGTACCTAGGATGCAGGCTCCTCCCAGCCAGGCCCTGGTTGGGGCACATGAAGGAGGCAACCAATCAATGTGTTCTCTTACATTGATATTTCTTTCTGTCTCTCCCCCTCTCTTCCACTCTCTCTAAAAATCAATGGAAAAATATCTTCAGGTAAGGATTAAATAAATGAATGAATAAATAAATAAATAAATTAATTAATTAATAAATAAATAAATAAAGTGTTTTTCCCAGTGGGCATTTGGCAAATAATTAATGAATGAATGATTATTTGTGAATCTCAAGATCAGATTTCTGTGCTAAAAGACTGGATTTCTCATTAGTTACAAACCACTTCACTTGAATGGACCCTAGCATCTGAAAGTAATTGACCCAAATCCAAAATAACAGATGTTCCCTTTCATTCCCCCTTGACCCCCCTTCTAGCCCACCCCTACTTCCCTGCCTCAGGCCTTCACCACACTATTGTCTGTGACCATGGGTTATGCACATAAATTCTTTGGCATGAGCTAGTATTAATACTTATGAATGCTTTTCTTCTTTCAAAACATTTTGGTTCCATTGTGTTTTATCCACCAGACTGGGAATGCTTTTAAAGTAGTGTCCACATGCTTAAGAGCATGGACTTTAAAGCAAAACTCCCTGGCTTCAAATCCCAGCTCCAGTTGGGGGAAATCACTTATTTCTTTTTCACAATAATAACAATAACAACAATAATATGTAATCCTTGAGTGTATATTAAATAAGTAAATACATGTAAACAAAGAATATTGGCCTATAGCATGTACTGTGTAACTCTTGATTGCTTATTATTATTAAATGTTATTGTTTTATATCCCACAACAATTGTTATAGTACCTTGTATACAGTAGCTGGTAAATGTTTTGTAATTAGTTTATTAAATTCTACCTCTTTCACATTTTTAATTTTTTTTTCCAAGAAATTAATGGTCATAGCAAATGAGGCTTAGTGATGTCAGATTCCTGACCAGGCCTGTCTTCCAGACTCTAGCATTTGAGTGAGGAAGAAAGTAAAGGCTCATAAACCACTCCCAATAATAGCACATCTATTGAAGATTTCAGCAAAAGGTTTTATGGGTGATCAGTAAGAACTTTGCAAGGGTTGAGTGATTTATACTTTTCCTGGCATGATGTGTTAAATATGGAATAAGCACATAAATGACCCACTAATTTTCTTTTCAATATTTGATTAAGAATATTGCAGGTCAAGAGCCTCAATCAACTCCTGTTAATGTTGCCATGGATCTGTTTGTAGTTGTGGTTATCTGTAGCTTGTGGCAGAATTTGCTCTCGGGAATGATCTAAAGTTAGCAATATATTTTGGCACTTAAATTTAATGCTAACTCTAGGGTCCCCATGATTCCAGAGTCAGTTTGGGGTCCTCTAGATTGGAACACCATGACTTAGATCTTCTCTGGTCCCAATGACCAGGCTGAAAATTTAGATGTTCCAGTGTTATTCTGGAGAAGATATTCTTAATCAGTGTTAGGCCCTGGAGCACTTTGAGAATCAGGTGGAATTATGAACTTTGCCCTCAGTTAAACTTGTGTAATCAAACTCACACTAAATTTGTCTTAGAAAGTCAAGGTTTTAAAGGTCCCTGAGACATATCCACAGACTCAAGTTAAATCCAGTTGCATTCAATTGGCTTTATTGTACAAGAACCAAAAATTTAAATGTCACATGAAAGTAGAATGTAAGGGGAAAAGAAAGAGCCGAATCTGTGAAAATCACATTCTCTCTTGACTGAAGGTAGACAAGTGGCCAAAGGAGAGTTTGAATTGGTTTCAACAAGACCTATAAAAAAATGATGACAGTTTAGGAATTTAGTTCATAATCTGTTAATAGTTATCATGATATGTAGATTTCATTAAGCTTTCATAAAAAGAGTTTATCAAATTAAATATTTCAGTGTAAATATTTAAGCTTGTCATACAGTGAACTGAAAATAATTTTCACCTAATATTTATAGATAGACACTGTCCTTTACATGCATATTTATAAGTGATTTTGTACAATGGTTTTAACTTAAAATCTATATTTGTGGGTTTTGAACAAATATAACTATAGAAATAATGATTATTCTATTAAAACCATAATCATGTAATAATATATTTTAGATCAATAAAATATATAACTGCATACTAAATTACTTGCTTTCCTGTAATCTCCATTTATTTTTCTCATTTTTTTCCTAAATTTTAACACATCAAAATTTTATCCATCTTATCTTCTTTTTTTTGTATTAGATGTCCTATTAAATATCAATGAAATAATACATTATACACATATGCTGATCTAAGTAAACAAAATTTTTTGTTTTTCTTCAAATTAGGCAGCCTATATGGAAATAGATGGCATAATAAATAAGCCTCACTATCTGAAATCAATAAGGACAAGATATTGGCTATAAGTAAATCTTAATATTTATTAATTTTACTTTAGTTTTTCTAATGTGTTACATTTTACAGATAGATACATTTTTACAATTCTGCAATATGCAGTCTCACTTATACCTCATAGTCACCAGATTCTGAGAAAAGGAAAGTTTGGAGAGACTAATGACTTGCCTAATCAAACAGATGGAAGAATCAGCCTTCTCTGATCTAATGCTATTACCATTTTATCATAGATCACTGTTGTATTTTAGATCATAAAACCTGGAGACAATGTGATGCCCTGAAAATATTTGTTGTGGAGACTCAAACATTTTTAACTTTCTCCCCAAATTATTTCACACTCTGGTCCTTTCCTATTTTATTAATCTTTCTTTTTATTTTAATTTCTTCCCATAAATTTCAAATTATTTTAGACCCTGCCATTATCCATTGATTTAAGTAATAAATAGAAACATTTTACATCATATTTAAGGTTCTGAAAATATCCTTTTAATATGTGTATGCTTTTCAAGTTAAGAATTAGTTTCTTCCATGAATTTATCTTAAAAGAAGATAAATTTGGGGTGTCTAACATCATGGATTCTTTAACAAACTATATCTGAAATAAAAGAATGCATGGGAAAAATATTTCCTTTCACTGTATTCATACAAAAATTAGAGTGCAAGAATACTGTTAAATAATTAAAATGTATTTACATTCACATCCTATATACATTTTCTAAGAAAACATTTTTGAAATAAGAAAAATCATGATTTTAAGATATAATTTTATTCTAGTATGAAAATAGTAATGAAATAAAACTAATAAATTCTAGGAGTGTTCCAACTGTCCTTAAAAAGTTTGATAATAAAATACCCAAGTTTTCTTCATTTTGTAAAATAAGGTTATTTTTTACTTCTTGTTGGAACAAAATCTAGTGTACCAATGCTATGGCACCACCAAATTAAAATCATAAGTTGCCTATTTTGCCTGTCCTCATAACAGACTTAATTTATCTATTTCTATTATATTTAGATTTTGTGACTATATTGATAAATCCATAAGTCTTGTCTTTATTTTTTTCTCTTGCTCATTTACCTGTGTTGTCTTCTTTGATGCTTCCATGGAGTTTTTAGACCACGGTGGTAGGTGCAGTAATTGTGACTGTGGTGGTATCAGGTGTGCTTGGGATGAATTGTGAGGAAGCTTCCTGAGTAACCACAGTGCTCTCTGTTGGTTCACTGGACAAAATCACTGTTGGCTCATCAGCAGGAATGATATTGATGGTAGGGATGACTGCCTTATCCTGATTTTTCTTTGGGGGGGTGGCAAAAAGTGGTGGAGTTGATTCACTGGGTGGAAAAAGTGTTGCCTCATCAGCAGGAACGGTATTGACAATAGGGATGACTGCCTTATCCTGATTTTTCTTTGGGGGGACGGCAAAAAGTGGTGGAGTTGATTCACTGGGTGGAATAAGTGTTGGCTCATCAGCAGGAACGGTATTGGCAGTAGGGATGACTGCCTTATCCTGATTTTTCTTTGGGGGAATGGCAAAAAGTGATGGACGTAGGTATGGGTGACGTACCAGAGTGGGTGGGTAGATATTTGGCAGGGCTTGCCATTGAGGAATTTGGGCATGTGGCCTAATTGAAACTGGTTTTGTATAACATGGGTAAGGCATATATTGGTTATTAATTGGTACAGCTGGTCTATATTGGTAGTAATTGGGTGCAATGTGCGGATAACTCTTCCACACATAATGAATTGGAATATATTTGACTGTGCTTTGGTCAAACAATCTTTTATCAGTCTCACAGCACTGCAAAGAATAAATTGTGCAGAATGGTGTTATTATAGGATAGACTGTAGAGATATCTTAAATCAGAATTTTTTTGAAATAATGTTATGGTATTTAACATTGAATAAGTACAATATTAACAGTAATAAACCCCACAACCATATTTATTATTTTACAAGATATGATTTATACATTTCCCTTCAACTTCTTAATTTTCAACAAATATTAAAAATAGTATTAGTTTCAAACAAATTAGATGAGGTAACCCATAATGTAAACCACATTGCCAAGAACTTGGCATATATGAAGAGTGCTCAGTAAATGTTGAGCATCATGTTAGGTACAACAGGTAGAAAAATCTCTTAGAGACCTTTGACATACTATACACAAAGAGACCACACACAGAGAAATATATATATATATATATATGTATATATATATATACGTATATATATCTTTTACAAATACGTTTGTATTTACTAGTATATATGCAGTCTCAGCACATATTCATAATTGTTTAAAATTTTATTTATCTAGAGATTAGGCTGAGGGCACATTCGTTTTTTCCCTAAATTAATTATAGCAGAATAGTAAAATAATATGATGTGGGAGATTCTGGATTTATACTTTAAATTTTTTTCCAGTTTAATTTTATCCATTAAATATAATTTAGGCAATTTTCCATTTTTATTTGCTTCTGTTCTACTGATTATGTGTATTTATCAAAATATATCTTTAGGTTTTTTCCATATAAATAGAAAAAATCAATAAAATTACACTGTAAGCAAGCATTTCTCATGAAGGGGGACATTTAAATATATTCATTTAAACATATTTGGGAAATAAAAGGAGGAAGTAAATACAAGTGCATGAAAAATACTCAAAGGTGGTTAGTGGGTTCTTTCCCAAAGTCTTAAAAAGTGGCCAGGAGAGATATCATTAAATTCTGCTTTTGTTTTCATATTTTCTCAATGTTAAATTAATGAAAGAGTTTTCTCATGTTGTTAAATATACATGAAATCCAAAAACACATGATTTAGGTTATAAAACAAAACCAAGATTTATAGAACATTGAGGTTGATTCATGTTTGCTGAAGGGTTTTTTACAATGATTATTAGGTTTTTTATGGAATTTAAATATTTATTTAGTTTTTAGACAGAAGCATTTTAATATCATTGGACTTTGCAGAATATTATACTTGGAAGTTCATGTCTCTACCAGAAGTAATTAAAGTAAACTTACTGTTTGTTGTTCCTGGTTTTGCACCTCTGCACCCTGGTGAGGTTCAAAGATATAGTAAGAAATACATTTTTTTTAAAAAAAGGCAAGGTCTAGATTTTTGTGTGTTTATTAAACGCTTTTATATTATAGACAAAACACTAGAGGCCTGGTGCACGGATTTGTGCACCTGTGGGGTCCCTAAGCCTAGCCTGCAGGTATGGGGCCCAAACCAGCTCTCTGACATCCCACAAGGGATCCTGGATTGCCAGAGGGCGAAGGCCAGGCTGAGGCACCACTGGTGCACTTTCAGGGCCAGGGAGGGACTGCATGAGGGCTCCAGGGCGTGTCTGGCCCATCTTGCCCAGTCCCGATCGGCCAGACCCCAGCAGCAAGCTAACCTACTGGTTGGAGAGTTTGCCCCCTGGTGGTCAGTGTGCATCATAGCGACTGGTCGAACGTTTGGACACTTAGCATATTAGGCTTTTATTATATGGGGGGGGTCCCTCAGCCCAACCTGCACCCTCTCCAATCGGGGACCCCTTGGGGGATGTCCAACTGCCATTTTAAGCAGGCAGTCGGACATCCCTCTCATAATCTGGAACTGCTGGCTCCTAATTGCTCACCTGCCTGCCTGCCTGATCACCCCTAACTGTCTCTGCCTGCCTGCCTGATTACTCCTAACCCCTCTGCCTGCCTGCCTGATTGCCCCTAACTGCCCTCCCCTGCCGGCCTGATCTCTCTCCCAATGGCCCTCCCCTGCCAGCCTGATCTCACCCCCAAGTGCCCTCCCCTGCCGGCCAATTTGGTTTTGATTTGTTGGTTTCTATGCCAGTCAGCGTGAAAAGCTCCGCCTCCTAGGCAGCCATTGGCTCCTCACAGTTCACCCAGATTTGGTTCTGATTGGTCGGTTTCTATGCCAGTAAGCATCTCCGGGCCTGATCAGAGAGGCGGGGTTGATCAGCAGCCCCCATGGAGAGAAACAGAGGCGCGGCTGCTGGTGAAATCCGGAAAGAAAGAGAGAGGCAACGGCTGATCAACAGCTGCCATGGAGGCTGAGGATCAGACCCTGCCTCTCTCTCCGGGCCTCTCTCTGGGCCTGATCCGCAGCCCCCTTGGCAGTCAGTGCTGTATCTCTGCGCCCGCACCAGCAGCAGTCAGTGCTGGGTCACCACAGCAACCCAGCACTGACTGCAGGACTGACTTCTGGTGTTTGGTGGAGTCTGTGGTCATTGTGGACCCTTGGCTTTTATATATTAGGATAATTTCTTTTTTATTGTAGCACTGTAAAATACTGTAAAGCATTTTCCATGGTTATTTCATCTACAAGGTCTGTGAACCACTCAAAAAGTGACAGCAATTTACCTATTACAATAATAATAATAATGATGAACCTCATGGTTAAATTGTCTTTAAAAATCATTACCTAGGAAAAAATATTCAAGGTTGAAAATAATATGGTCATCTAACTCTTGTGCCAACAAATGTATTTGATATTTATTTAAATAAAAACTATGAATAACATTGTTTGTATTAAATCTACATTGTTAGAAATAAGGGGAGCAATGAGCATATCTCTTTTTCTGTCTCCTAAGAAGAATTATGAGTTTCATGTAGATTTAAAACAATTGCCTCTGGCATAACATCAATATATAAATGTTATATACATACTAATGTTTTTTTAATTTTTTAATTAAATTTTATTGGGGTGACATTGTACTAATGTTTTTTTAAATCAAGTTTCATTTTTTTTTATAATACTTTTCTTAATCTGGTTTGCAATGTGCATAGGAAATCAGAAGTGAGAAAATTTCCATAGATGTATATATATGAAACTTTAAATAGTTATGAAGGTTTTATAAACTTTAGAGATGAGGTCATAATATAAAATATTTTTTAAATGATTGTTCTTGTTTAAGGCATGTCACACACACTCCTTGGATTAAAAAAAAGTCTCTAGAAATCTTTTGAAAGTTGTAGGAATATAAAATCAGAAACTTGATAAAAAGAACAAAATTCAGGTTGTGTTGAGATAGAGACTTGTTTTCTTCTAAATTGCTAATTTAAAGTTTAAAAGTTTAAATAGCAATATAAATATTATAGAAACTTTGCCTACACTAAGAAATTCTGATCACTTAAACATCTTAATATTATATCAATCTATATTATGTATTTCTGGTATATGTTTTAGTATTTTTTGAAGAGGTATAATCTCTCATAATATTTTTCCATATTTCTTTTAAAAAATATATTTTATTGATTTTAGAGAGAAAAGGAGAGGGAGAGAGTGATAGAAACATCAATGATGAGAGAGAATCATTGATTGGCTGCCTCCTGCACGCCCCCTACTGGGGATTGAGCCCGCAACCCAGATATGTGCCCTTGGCCAGATTCGAACCTGAGACCCTTCAGTACATAGGCCAATGCTCTATCCATTGAGCCAAACCAGCTAGGCTTTTCCATATTTCTTATAGTTTTCATACTTATGGTTGAAAAATAAATGATCAATGATTATGTCATGAAATGTTTATTTTTCACTCTGTTGTTAATCATTAGGCTTCTTTCAAAAAATGTTTTATTATAGAGAGATAAATAATATCTGTATACCAGTGGCCTTTCAATACTTTCTATTAATTCCTTAATATATTTTCTCAAAAATGTGACTTTTGGGTTGGGGAGAGTGTGAAGAAAAACCTTTGATAGGAACTATCATATTGTTGTAGAGAAAAGTTGTGCCAACTTATAATGCCAATCAATAGGATATAAAATTGTGCAGTTCATATCATAATTGCTAATATAAATATTATTTAAGTTATTTTTATTTTAGAAAGAGGATTACATGAACACATAAAAGATGCTATCACATTATTCTTTTAATTTGTGTAATCTTGACTACTCATAAGATCAAATGATAAAATCTATAACATTTTCATTCTCCTTTTGAATTATTTGTTCGAGTCCATTGAAACTTTTGTGAAGATGGAAGGACTGTTTGGGGGCTAGAGCAGGCTCTAGTAGCTCAAGAAGAAGTTGCTATAGAGCAGGCAGTTGAGGAGCATATTCTGATTTAAACTTTAGTGCTTATCTCTTAAAGAGAAAATCAAAGTTCTAAATGTACAGGTGTCTACAATAAAATGGAATTTCAAAGAATAAGTAAAAGAAAATAATGTGAAAGTCATAATAATTCAAATTTTTAAAAAGTTTTGCACCAATAATTTATAGAATACAATTGTTTAAGAGATATTAACCTAAAAGCAAGTCTAAATTTAATAATAAATGAATTATGAAACAAGGACTAGTGCCCTTCCAAATCTTATGATCTAAGAGTTGACCATATTACATCATTTCATTTTATGTTTGAGACAATGATATTACATCATTTTATATTTGCCTTTCTATTCTTGATGTTGGCAAATAAGTGCCTGGAATCACCAAATGAACATGAAAATAAAACAGAGCAATAGTCAAAACAACAATGAAAACAAGTACAAAAAATTAAAAGAAAAAACTCCAAAACCATTTTCTTGGTCCAATAACCTTAATACACATGTAATTTAAGAAAAATACCTAAAAACCATAAAGTTGTTAATGCAGATAATCTTTGGGAAGGAATCAGTCAGTTGACATAATAGGAAGAGTATAACAAAAGGTCCCATAATATTTGAATATTAAGGGTAGATGTGTCAATGTCTTTGAAATTGCTGCAAAAGCTTGAGTAATTGAGGAATGACTATTTCATTACTCATGCTGACAGCCTGAGCACTTTTCCTTTCTCCCCCAAGCCAAGTTCATGAGACTTTAACATTGACATGGATGAGGTTGTTTCTTCTTCTATTATTTGATATGTTTAAAAATTAAAATCAAGAACATGAACAGGATTCTGACCCCTTTAAATACAGCATCATCCTTGATGTTGTTTTTTCTATGTTCCTTCCACTCCTCCAATTGTCAAAGATGAACAATGAACACTAATGATTTGACATTTTAAAAAATGCTTTCCTGTATATTTTCTCACAAGCCAGCACAACAAAGTTTCAAATGGCAGAGGAAAAGGTGAACATATTCATGATGCTAATTCAGAGAGTTTGGATAGTTCCCCACAGATCAATCTCTTGTGACTATATATTTGCATATGCATAGATACATGTGAAAGGAGAAATGTTAAAGCTTTATTTTGGTCTTATACAATCTATTATAATAAAAGTGTAATATGCTAATTAGATCGGACATCCTTCCAGACGACCTTCCGGATAAAACTGCAGCGCGGCAGATGGGGGCCGAGGCAGCTGTGGAGGCAGTGGGGGCTGAGCCTCTTGCACGAATTTTGTGCATCAGGCCTCTAGTAATATATATGAAAACATTATATAATCTACAAATACAGAACACTAAGAAGCTGCTATTGTAAATATTTTGATCATTATACTGTTCCATGTCATTATAACCTTATGGGCAAGGCTTCTTGATAACAATTATTTGGGAACTTTCACTAAATGGTTTTGAATGGGGGGGAAAAAAAAGGAAAGCTTGAAAAAACTTCTAATCTCCTAAGAATTTATTTCCTGAAGAGATTGGAGTTGTTATAAGATTAGAGTCTGATCCTCAACTGTAATTTCCGTATTCTTCTTTATAAATTATTTTTAGAGCATTTTATAAATCAAAAAGATTTTTAGTCCCCCCTTGTAATGTATTTTCTCTATAGTATTAGAATTTTAAAGGTTTTCTATACATGATAAAGTGGGATTTCTTAATTCCTGGGAACTAAAATGATATTCAGAAGAACAAGACTGTAATTGTATAATATAAATATAAAAGAAATTACTTTTAAGAAAATATATCTAATATGCAATTATTTTGTTTTATAATGTATAAATGTATTTATAAATTTATATAATTAAACCTCTTAAATAAAATTTCTCAAAGTATCAATATAAATTGATTAGATGAAATTAACTTACCAAAAAAGGCAAGATGAATGCCAGGATATTCAAAATTAGGAAAAAACTCTTCATAATTGCACCTAAAATTGAAATTAAAAGTATTAAATTAAAAGGGTCTGTTACTAATAATTTAGGAGTGATTTAAAACAGTGTGTTTTTTTAAGGAAATAAAAGCAGATTGATTTAGCCAATGTGGAAAATCTATTTTATCAAAAGCTTTGGAACACCCAAACTTGGAGTATATAATTTATAATTTTAATTTTTGGCTATATTACTGAAAGTATCATTACAAGGTTAATAATCTATTTAACATATACCAAGAATATACTACGAAAAAGGCAGTGTGTCAAGTGTTGAGTTTATCATGGTGATTTGCTCTTGCCAGCAGGTAGCATCGATTTTAGGAAGAGAGTTGGACCATACACAAATTACCATAAGAGGAAAGAAAGTGAAAATACCCCCAAAGTGGTTTTCTATAGATCAGTTTTCCATTAAGAATTCTTTATGTAAGAGATAGCATGTAGGTGGCATTTGTCCATGCAGAGATGAATATTATAGGGAGAGAAAATTTTCAAGTAGAGGAGAAAGCTTGGGAAGACCCATGGGCATTTGGAATGAAGTGTTTGATGAGAAGAGAAAGAAATCTGGGAAGAAAGTTTAGGGAAGAAAAGGGACAGGCCTTATATGCCAGGTTAAAGAATTAGGCTTGGCTTTGTAAAAAACAAAACCAGTTGAGTGGTTTTGAATTAGAGACTGATGTGACTACTTTCCTTTAGAGAACTGAGTCCTATCTCAGGCTCTGTCTCTGCTTGTGTAACTTTGGCCAAGTGATTTCCTTTGGCTGGGCCTTACCTATTTTATCTGTAAAATAAAGGTATAAACAAAGTGATTTCTAAAATTCTATAATTTCATGATTGATCTAACAGGAATTTGTAAGAATCTGAACTCTTCAGTTCACACAAAATTATATAACACACACAAACATTCTGTAAAATGATAGCAATTCCTCCGTTTTTAGTATAAACAGAAATCAGAGAGATAAGATGATACTTAACTTATTACCTACTTAAACCTATGAAGTACTTAAATTTGCCTTATTGTGAAATAGAATTATTCACCTTTTCTGAGGATATGAAAGGCATGTTTTAAAACAAGCTATATTATAACAAATAAAATTATGACACTTGGATAAAAATAAAATTAGAAATTAATTAAGGGATCCATGTGAATTATTATAACACACTCATCTTCCTGAGAAGTTAGTCCTCTGTATTTGTCTGTAAGGACAGGTTCATTGTCTTGAACACCTTCTTATTTTAGAATTTACATCACGTTCAGTAGTGTAGCCAATATCAAACCTTGACTTTAACCCAAGTAAAATTCAAAATAAATTTGATCATAGCACCATACAAAATCTAAGGTTTAGATTAGACACTAATTTCAAAATGATGTCAATATGTATTCAAGCTTAACAATTTAAAGCTCAAAGGAAGAAAATGTACTTCTAGAATAACTTTGATAGTGTTATTAATAGCCAAAGTGAAAAGGAATCATTCTCTCTTGATGTTTCAATATAATTACCTTTCCTTGTGCTTGTTGGGTCTTGCTTGGCAGTAGGTTGAATTAGATTCCCAACTCCAGAGAAGTCTCAAGGTAAATAACTGAAGACTAATTAAAGGGTATTAGTGCCTTACATCATGCGATTAATTTTCCTCCTATGTTTTACCCAATAGGAAGATGACAAAAAGGAAAGATTTGATGACAGCTGGGTTATCTTTGGGTCAATCTTAGTTAATGAAAGGTAGAGGGGGAAATAGAGTTACCATTCATAAAGCTTGAAAAGAGACTATTCACACCTTTTAAATAATTCATTTTTATGTTTTATGAAGAAGTATAGAGGCATTTTTAAAATATTAATTGCATTCATAATGAACTAATCCCACCAATTTGAATTTAAAGCTACTGTTAGAATTAAAAATAGCTAGCCACAATTTCATATTTTAAATGTTTCTTTTTAGTTTAAGAACCTGGATATCAAGCAACCCTACATATATTATGAACTGCAGTTGGACTTCTTTCTCCTAGAATTACAACTATTGACCTTTAAAAATTAGAAAAGTTACCACCCCTTTCTTACACACCCAAGTGCAATTTCTTACAAGTTAAATCCAAAAGTAAAATATTTTAATCAATATAAAGTGGGAAGTCATTTGCATTTGAGCTGCAATATATATTCTTAAATAAGTTCATGGTATAAGCATTTAATATATAAGCTATCAACTGGTTGATTTTTAATTTTTTATGAATCAAAATTGTATTCAGATTTTTAAATTTCAATAATATAGGTGAACCATTAAGGATCTAAAAAATTTAATTATTGAATTGGGGATAATTTTTCTTTGTCAATGACAGCTCTTTCTGAAATGCCACCAATATGAGGGAAGGGTATTTTGGTAAAATACAGTTAAGCAATTTGCCTAGATAACTCAGGAAATAATATTTTCTTTTGCTTGCATTTCTCTGGGGAAAATGTGAACTGTGACTTCACTTTAGCCGTGAAGGCCTGGCCTAATTGAGGTATTTACAGGAATCCATGTAGGACTGCCAGAGTACAAACAAGAAATAATATCAGCATTGTGGATTTTTTTTTTCATTCCTGTCTTTTTCTTAGAAGTATTTCATGTCTTAGAGTGTTAGGAAAATGTTCATAACCCTAGAATGTTTATCTAGGTTGTACTGAGTAAATTAAAATTTTCTATTTCTCAGAATAGTTGGCTTCTGCTGTTCAGAGAAAGGTGTCTGAGTTTCAAAATTGCTAAAACAGCTGTTAAAGAAATAAGACCAGCCATTCTATTTGGACTGTTTAGTCACACTGTTCCTTTGGTTTTGATGACCAAGTGATAATTGGAAGATTATGGTCTGGTCAATTTCTTAATGAAGAAGGTATTTTATTCCACATGGCAACTCTCAGTCATAGATGTAAAACTACAAAATGATATTGATTCTCTCTTGGGTTATTATTTAAATCATAAGTACCAGAGACTCAGAACAACTTTAAAATATTGGTTTAGCAGGAAAATATATTTTACCTGGGAATGCTAGGAATCTTCCCCCTACCAAAAGAAAAACATTATAGTGGTGTCACCCATCCACTTCAAATAGGAACCTGGCTCTCTGGGAGATTTGTGAAACTGAATATTATTCTTTGAGTACTAAAATTATTTCAGGTACTGTTCCAGGCATTAGGGATAAATTAATAACCAAAGCAAGCAAAGATCCTTGCTCTGTGGAGCTCACAGTCCAATTGACTTGAATACTAGTGACACTGAATATTCTCTGTATATATTGACCTAAGGCAATCTAAGAGATCTATGAAGTTTTGAGTGACTATTGTAGATGAACTAGGTGAATTCTATATTAGAGCTATTCAGATACCCTACCGTTTTCCAAAGAAAAGCAACAGGAATATCACAAGTCCTATGATAATTTTAGGATGATGGGTTGGTGCTGAACGAAGTCTCAAAACAGAGTGTTTGTAGTTTGGAACTGACTCACCAACATTGATTTAGTCACATACTCATCTTAAGTGCCATGGCATACTCCTGAAACATCCTTGGAGTCTGGGAAGAAGACCAGCAAGGCTGTTTTGTCAAACTACAGCTTCTTTTTGTTTAGATTCTGATAATCAGTGTCTATTCATAAAACTACTCACACAGTGGTGAAGCTGGGTAAGAGGCTATTGTGGGCTCATAAGTTTACATTTCAAGCCCTTTGAAGTAAATATCTATAATAATAAAAGTATAATATGCTAATTAGACCAGATAGCTGAACGGCCTTCCGGACGTCCTTCTGGATGAAGCCACAGTGGCAGAGGCCAAGGCAGAGGTGGTTAGAGGCAATCAGGCAGGCAGGTAAGTGGTTAGGGGCAATGAAGCAGATAGGCAGAGTGGTTAGGGGTGATCAGGCAGGCAGGCAGGCGAGCAGCAGTTAGGAGCCAGTGGTCCCGGATTGTGAGAGCATACAGGCCTGGCTGAGAGAACCCCCCCCACCCGTGCACAAATTTTGTGCACTGGGCCTCTACTATTGTAATAAGTGAAATGATGATTATTAACTCATATACATTCTTTTACCTGTAACAACTTATTGTTCTGTGAGCATTTCTTACATCTGATATGTACTTTATCTATTTTCTCTTATTTTGGTGATATTCACATGCATGTGTTTTTTCTCTTCTGTCTTTTATTTCTCAATGACTTCATCTTTGTCTCCTCTTCCCCAACAATCCATTAGAAAAATTATAAGCCCTATCTTAACAACATATCCTAAATGTGTCATCACTTTCTAGTCTTATCTTTATTGCCTTCGTCAGTCAGTCCCATTTAGTGGTAGCTCACACCTGGCCATCTGAATAGTTCCCTTTCTGGTGTGTGGACAAAAGGGGCCACATGCTGTCCTGACAAGCTCAGGAGTGGCCTGTATGGCAGTCTTGCAAACTCAGAGACCTAAATTAACCACAAAGGATGGTCTGAAATTCAACTTTAAAAGCAGTTATGGTGGGCAATTACGTCCTAGGCCAGTATCTTCACTGACAAGGTCAACCTTTACCTTAACTGAGCCTATCTGTCTTTTTGCATCTATAATAACCTAACTTGAAATGTCTGGGTAACTTGTAACTTCTCTTTTTCTGGAGCCCCTGGGGCACAACCAAATGTGCTGGGCGCCAGGACAGATACCACAAATTTCTTCATTATTATGTTAATTGATCCTGCACCCACCTAAGTATGTGTCCATCATTTTACTTTTTATCCAATCCCAGGGATTTCCCCTGCTTTGCTTTATCCCTCCTCCTTAATCTATCACCAATGATTTTCATGTAACCCACCTACGTCCCTCCTTTGATTGCAATGTATAAATACAAATGTAACCCCGCCATTCTCCGGAGCATTATCTCAATTCGTTGAGATTCTGCTTCCCAGCATATGTTGACAGTTTGGCTCAAATAAACTCACAAAAACTCTTTACAGGTTTCAAAGTTTTTTTATGTTAATAGGTGTCACTAATTTTATTCTTTTCACCTTAAAGTTACCCCTCACACAGTTATAAAAATGTCATTTTTTGGACATATTACTGATATGATTATTCTCCTGCTTAAAGTTTTTTTAAAAGCCACTTAGAATAAATTCCAAATACTTCATCAGGCCCTATTAGTTTTGATATAATTTAGTCTCTCCCTATCCTTCTTACCTTGTCACCTACTGCATTTTTTCTCACTATGTGGAAGATTCGATGGCCTTTCTGTTCCTTTCCTAAATTAAAAACTTTTCACTTTTGTTCATAGTCTCTGAAATGTTTTTACTCCAATTATTCTCATTAGTGTGTCATTTATATTATTCAGTTTTCAGCTTGAATGTTTTTTTCTTAGAAGCACTTTCTCTGGCACCTTTTCTAATTAGTCATTTCCTTTCCTCCATCACTTTTTACTTTTCATAAAAGTCACAATATAAAATGATTTTTAAAGTTTGTATGTGTTTACTTACTATTCTTTATCTTCTTCCACTGGAAGATAAGTTTCTCAGTGCATAGACCTAAGTCTGACACATATTAGAAATAAAATTTTTTGCACGAATGATTAATTATCTGAACTCTTTGTTTAAGTTGCAAATTCTTGTCTCACACCACACTATTAAGTTTGAACTTTTAGGGAAAGTGTTTTCCCAGAAGTCTGCATAGTTAATAAGCACCTGAATTTTTTTTTTTTTTAACATGGAAGAAAGTTTGGAAATCATTACTTTCTTCTGCATAAAGTCAGAACTTGGTCATGAAGAACTAAGGAGGACAGGCATACTGTCTTATCTCATTCTCCTAGAATTCTAATTTATTTTACTGAAAGCTAGTATATGTGGATTAGAGATGAGTTTTCTGGGATTGATTTTCCTGTGGGAGCATTTGAACTAACTTCCCCTCAGCTGTTGGGGAAGCTGAGCTCTAGCCTAGTTCTGTTTTGAGTGATTGCACCTGGATTTCAGTGTGGTCCTCTGGTTTTATTTTAATCCCACATGAAAGTCTAGAGTAGTTGAAAGAAACTAGAAGCTTTTTTAAGTGATTGGAGGGAGGGGCACTTCAGTTATCAATGTCTCCTGTTGCTCTATTGCCATTAACTACCTTCAGCTATCTTGGTTTGACCCAAGTTTTGCCAGAAGTTTCAACTCTGCCTGGATATTACTGAATTGACAAGGAATTTTGGGAACATACTCTCTTGAATGTCTTAGTCATTCACAAACATCAGCTCACCAGATGATATTTGTCCTCTCTATCTATATGAAAAATTAACAGTAATGAATGTTCTGAACAAGAGTATTATTAAGATATTTATTATTTTCCTTTTGTTTCTAAGGACAGAGGTTACTCCCAAGGCTAAAAATCTTCATATATTAATTAGAAATAGGTTTTTAATTATTTTATTCCCAAATTTTGCTCTTTTACTTTGCCCAATGAAGCCAAATGCCATTAAAAATACCAATTTTATAGAGTTTCCCATCTAGTAAACATCTGTTGAACACTTAGTTTATGCTTATATAATTGTCAATAACCCATTTATCCATTAAGATTCAGCTCAAAGTCACCTGTGGGACCTTTCCTAATTTATGTAGGCAGAACTAGTTTCCCTTCTGTTTTAAAAACAAACAACAACTCTGTAAATGCTTTATGGGTGTGTTTATTTATTGAAATTTCATACATGTTTATCTCCCCTCACTAGATTGTAAGATTTTTAAAGGTGAAAAAAATCAATTGCCCAAATCCCTAGGTTTTAGCACAATGACTGGCACAAAATTAGTATTTTTAAGAATTTAATACAATCTGAAAGATTATATGGAAGACATGTGAGTCCTCTTCCTAAGAAACTAATAGAGTAGTAGAGATGAATTTAGCTCTTTGTTTACTTTTACATAAAAAATTATTGAATAGTCAGTGGTGCCTTCTGTCTCTATCACTGATTACATTTTAAAAAAGAACAGTGTGTTCAAGGACAAACTGATCTTAACTGTTTTATATGGGGATCATTCTATTGTCAATTTAGTTTGGGAAATGTAGTTAAGCAAAATGATTTGTTAAGCTGGCATTCTCAAGAATCTTATCTTATGCATGTATACTGTAAATTTTGAATGGCTGTTTGAGGATGAATATTTATTTTGGGGAGCTACCTGGTGAAAATAATGCTTCAAGAAACACACTGATAAACAGTGCTTTTGTGGATTCTATCCCCATAAACCATTGGATAACAAAAAAAGTGGAACTCTGGTTGACTGATTTGTTGAGAAACTGTTCCACCAACCACAATAAACAAAGGTGACAGGACCAGGAATGATGTTGCCCAAAATCCAATGGGGGAAATAACTGATTAATTTTAATAGCATATATTTGTTTCACAAAACTAGTAGTTAAATGTTAATGAGAGTATCTCCCCTACCCATCTCCCCCCAAAAGTTACAATGACATCATTTGAGGTGCATAAAAGTTCTAACCTGAGAGTTAAAGACACATATCATAGACTTCACACACACACACACACACACACACACACACACGCACTCAGAGGAAAGAGTAAATTACAGAGCTGGTCTTCCTTAACTTCAGAGCTGCCAAGGTTTGCCTTTGGCCCCTCCTCAGGCTCTGATTTCCTACCTTCTTGTGCCCCTCATTTTGGTTTCCCATTAATGTCCTGCTTCAGTCATGCAATAGCCTCTAATCTGTCAACTGTAAGGTTAGGAAACACTCCCTATAAAATCAATGTACCAAATTATATTGAGGGCAGTTTGATCTTCTTGCTGTCCCTCCCATAGTTTTAACTGGGATCACTGACTTTCATACAAAACAATGAATATTTATTGTTTGAGGAACATATAATCCCTGAAGATGGCTAAGGGAGACAGCAATTTCCCTGTTTAAATCATGCCAAAAGGCTCATTAAGCTGGCCTTGGTTCATAGCCAATTTATGGGTCATGGCAGAATTTCCTTCATGACGCTAAGGGTCTCAGCTATGAACAATTTAAACTTGGGTGGAGAAATGTAATCTTTGTTCAAAGAGAATTTTTATAATTTTCTGATAATTTACCTGTAGGGACAAAGGCTGCCATTGTGACATAATGGAAAGCTCATTGTGCAATCTTGTTGGATGACTCCTGTCCTGTACCACAAGAAAGTTTATTTTCATCACCACCTGCTACCTTTTCCTCCTTCAGAATTCTGTTTCTAGAGTGTCTGTTATGGGATTTATGGGAACTGGTGATAGGACAAATTGTCCCTCAGTAAAGTTCACAAAGCTTTGGCTATGTGCATTTTACTTTATATGAAAGAGAAAATATACTTGTTAAACTAACAAACTCTAAACTTGTCTTTTTACAAAGCTGACACAAATGTTAAATACTTAAGACATAGACATAAATATATTTTGTGATGCTTGCATTGTCTTGGAACAAATAATTTTATTCATAACTTGACATTTTATGGGCCCTACAATTTCTGTAATAGAGGATAGATGCTAGTGTTGTAACTAAGAAAGAACTGTTATCATTTAAATATTTATCTTAAGTTTTTTATTTCTCTCACAAAAAGGAATCTTTAGCTAAATTATATATTGATATATTGGGGAGCACACGAGACTTGGTTGGAAAGTTTGTAAGGAGAACATTCTGAGAAAGGGGAAGTGTGTGGAAGGCCACTTGCCCTGTATATTGAAATTCCAACTTATGGGAGTGTCGACAGCAGTGCCCCTAATTATTCCTTGACTTTTCCAAACATGTCTGTGCATATGCAGACCCCCGGGTGTTTACTGGAATCCTTATGCTTAACCTTTGGGTGTCCTTACTTAAAAGACACTACAAACACATGTGTCCTCCCAAGATTAATTTCCCTACTGATTGTATCTAAAAGATAAACTTTATCTCAAACTGCTGCTACAATAAAAGCCTAACAAGGCAGGCAATCGAGGATGCCTGGTTCCTTTAGCCAGGCAGTCCCTTAGCCCTCTCTTCCACAGGGTCTGCTGGTCAGCTGCAGCATTGATATAGGTCAGAGATATAAAAATATATATTTTGGAAATGAAAAGTGTGAAGATTTTATTATCTTTCATTTATCAAACATTCACCAACTACCTTCTACTCTGCTAAGTACTGGGGAATGGTTATATTATTGTGATACTCTAGGAACTTACAATCTTCTCAAGAAGGCTATAGAAATATATTATTTATTGGAAACTAGAAACTAAAGCATAATAAGAGTCATAAATAAGTGAAAAAATGCAGTGGGGAAGTGTGAAAGTGATTCATTCTGTTTGGAGAGATAGGAGAAAGTTTCTCATGAAAGTCATAATATTTGATTTAGGTTTTGAAAGATAAATTGGATTTACACACTAAAACACAGGAATGGAATGGACATTCCATGAAGAGAGGGCAGCATAAGCAAAGGCACAGCTGTGTGAGAGTGAAGGCCAGTTGTGGAGAATGGCAATGGCCTGGTGTGACAGCAGGGGCTGTAAGGGAGGCTGGGCTGATGGCAGGGCATTTGAAAAGAAACTTGAGGTTAGTATGTAGAAGGCCTTGGATGCCATGCAAAGGAAAGCAGATTTTATACTATCCTATATAATAAAAGTCCAGTGACCACAATGGCAGAATGACCAGAATGACCGCTTGACCAGTCACTATGAGGTGCACTGACCACCTCTTGGTCCCTTTCCCCAGCTGGCAGGCTCCGATTGCCGATGGTGAGTGGAGACCTGGGGTGGGTGGCGGGGGATGTGGGCACACCAGGCCAAGGCCCCCGTCCTGCCAATTGCCCCCCACACAGAGGGCGACCAGCCTTGGGGGTGGGGCTGGTGAGCAGACAGGAATGGCTGACCTCTTAGTCCCTCCCCCGGCCGTCAGGCTCCCATTGCTGGATGGTGAACAGGGAACCAGGGTAGGTGGCGGCAGGGGGCAGGGCCAGCTGCCGGCAGCCAGGGAAGATGGCCCTGATCACAGGCCTGGCCTGGGGACCATACCCACACATGATTTCATGCGCCGAGCCTCTAGTAGGCAATAAGAAGCCTTCCAAGGCATTGGAGCAAGTCAGAAACATAAGTCAGCATGTGTTTTCAAAGACAACATTGGTGGCAGCATGGCAGGCATTAACAGAGGGGGAGATGGGTAGCAGTTTCCCTTTTTTGCATGGGTTTGATTTTTCCTCCTGAAATAAAGTGAAAAAAGATGGAGTTAACTAGTCTTTGGCACTGCCATCATGGAGTCCTGGGCTCAAAATTTGTTTTAGTAGACCTGCAGCTGAAACAAAGGCCAAGGAATTGGAATGACCTGGTTTTGTATTTCTCTTCTGCCACATACTTGATCTATGACTGTGTAGTCCACAGGACTTTCATGATCTTCAGTTTCCCCATATTAGAAATGTGATTACTGTACAGAGATTATGTAAAGACTAGTGGCCCAGTGCATGGATTCGTGCACATTGAAAGGAAATTAATTAGAAGAAATATTTTAATATCACTATTCACCCTTTCTCTACAATAGAAGCCTCAGAGATGAAAGAAAATTAGTAAAATGTATATGAAAATAATATATAAATTGATTAGTAAATAAACAATAACAACATGATATAACAACAACAAAGACATGATATAAAAACAAAAACATAATACAAAAACAATAAAAACATGATGTAAAAACAACATTGATAAAAACTATGACTGATAAACTGATTAAAATTATTCTAATATCTCCCTGTATACCACATTAAGAATAAAAACACTTTCAGAGTGCTTGACTAATTTCCCTTGTGATGAAGTATTTACAACTTTAACTTTAACATCACATGGTCTTTGAACTAGAGAGAAAGCAACATCTAACTGACCATATCCAAAAATGGGTTAAGGAAGGAATATTCCTACTCTGTCTAGAGTTTGTCCTTATGATTTATTAATAGTCATCGCAAATGCTGGCATCACAGGAAACTGTCTTCGAATTAATTTAAATGGGAGGCCAGTGTCAGAGGGGGACAGTTGTGCCAATAGTTGGTCTTCATTCATATTGTGTCGACAATGCCACTTTCTTTCAGCTTCAGAATGCCAACAAAAACAACCAAATTCACAATCAACAATGACAGATTGAAACACACCCGTGCAATTGGCACCAGCGAGAGCTTTATATGTATCGCACGTGCGCAAGTCAGTTTATTTTTAGATTGCCAGTGCGCATCATATGTACCAGCCAGTTAGTTGAATAGACATATGTTCTGTCACTTAGACTTTTATATATATAAATTTGATGTTATAATGATTCAAAGAAAGGACTTTGTAACCTACAAGCATGATAAAAATGTTTTTAGGATCTCAATCATTATGAGTTTTTTGAAGTTAGGGACAGTACTTGATTGCTTTTGATATCCTTTACCCATACATCAAGCTTAATACCCTACTGTAAATCAAGTACAGATTTACTTGAGTAATTGAGACTCAATTACTCATACTTTTTTAAAAAATTAAATCAACCTCTGGCTCTATTAGTACAATCAGTGCAACTGTAGAGCATAAGCTGCCAAATAGACTTTCATTCAAGGTATTTCAGGGCTGGTTGATTTTGGTTACTTCCACTCCCCATACTTTTCCTAGAATGTTTAATCATCAAGAAGTGTATATTAAAATTTGTTAAATTTTATTTTTCATAATTACTGGTAATGCACATCTAGATCTTTAGTCTAACACTCTTCACCTGAGCTACTTCAGCGAGGCCCTGTCAATGCACATTTAGAAAATAGAAAACCATGGTATTTTTTTTTATGTCAACAAAAGAGGACCAGTAAAGAATTGATGAGAGAATACTGTATGTCACTTCAATTATATTTATTTTTCTTTTATTAACAGGATTATTGATTCTTCAAAGAAGTGGCTCACAATCAGTTTTAGTGACCTGCAATAAATCATGGGCATACAGTTATTAATCCTAATGGATCATTTGCTTGTGAACTTACAGTTTCTTTTTTAAAAAATCTTTATTGTTTTGAGTATTACAGATGTTCCCCTCTCCCCCCCACCATTGCCCTCCTCCACTGGTTCCCAACCTACCCCAGGCCTTCACCACCCAATTGTCTGTGTCCATGGGTACTGCATATATGCACGTAAGATCTTTGGTTAATCTCTTCCTGCCTCCCCTCTCCCTTCCATCTGAGATTTGCCATCTGTTCCATGTTTCCATGCCTCTGATTCTATTTTATTCACCAGTTTATTTTGTTCATTAGATTTCTTATTTGTTTATTTTGATTTATAGATTCAATTGTTGATATGTATTTATTGCCATTTTAATGTTTATAGATTTTATCTTTCATTTTTTCCCCCTTCTTCTTCTTCTTAAAGAATACCTTTCAACATTTCCTGTAATACTGGTTTGTGAACTTGAAAAGTTTTTGCTTTTTAATTACAAATATTGTCTCAAAAGTACATCTAATTCAAGAACTGGAAAACTTTCTTCTCAGGTACACTGAGTAAATGCAAGAAAGAGGACAGAAGTCCTTTAGAGGCAGTATTAGCTGAATTTTGTTTTTCTAAAAACTAGGAAACAAAATAATCCTCTGGGTCCTAATATAATCTTTAATATAGTCTACTTCCCCTCAATTTATCTGGTAATTGACAAACAATTAACTTTGATTTTGATATAATAAGATGATAGGGGTCTCTATTATAACAAACATTCAGCCTTCAGA